ACTGGGTGGGGACCGTGGCGAGGGAGAAGTGTGCCAATCTGTTGATTTTTTTCTTTTGAAACAAAAGAAAAAAGGAGGGGGGAAAGGCAGGGGGCAAGTCACACCGAGGCCGATGACTATTTCATCCATGGTTTCAGTGTCCGTCCCTCTCGAGTGCTACTGGTGAACATTCGGTTAAAGAAGTCTTGCAAAATACTCTCGCGTTTATCATCGACAGGGTATTTTTTATCCTTTTCCTTTTCCCATTTTTTTTTCCTTTTTTTGTTTTTCGTGGCTAAACACTCTTGCACTTTCCTGACCGCCTTGTTAGCTGTTCTCGCTCCACTCTGGCACCATGCCCACACCGTGGACCGAGTGGTACTGATGGGGCGAAAGGGTTCGAGGCACGCCGTGGGAATACAGGAACTCTGTGGGCTGTAAGCTGCTGGGAGGGGACTGGATACCAGTTTGTGGTCCACACTGCCGGACGATGGGTTGGTGAGAAACCGAAGTTTGGTGCTGAAACATGCTATGGGTATCTCCTAGTTGGGGGGAGGTATGGTTGGCCACGCTGCTGAGCCGGGGCATCAGCGGCCCGGAGGTGAAGTGGGCAGAGAAATGCTGGTAGGGTAACCTGTCCATGGGCTGCATGGCAGACACTGTGCAACTGCTGTAGGACGGCACGCTCGGCCACGTGTTACAGCTGATGTCTTCTAGGCTGGGCACGGGGTCCGTGGGGGGAGCGGAGCTGGCATACATACATGCTTGGCGCTGGGCTGATTCAGTCCTGTACGAAGTGTTCAGTCCCTGCTGCTGGGGGTAACTGGACCTGTAGAAAGGATCCTCTTCTGCCGGAGATGTTTCCATGTAGGGTTTCTTGTAGGGATGCTCGGTGGTGGAACATTCCTCATCTGTTGGGCAAGAAAAACTCCTGGTAGTGAACAACAATACTGTGCCCTCGGCTGAACCTCCCTCTCCACAATCCTCGTTTTCCCAAGGACACAGTCTGCACAGAGCTGATTTCTCAGTTATGCCAGTATAAATCCAGACCCCTTCCTCAGAATCCATCTGAGCTGATCCTGCTACAACCAAGTCTTGTCCTGTCTGCTGGGCTGGGGATGGGCTTAGCTGGGAGCTCTGGGAGGAAAAGCAAAGCTATAGGATGCTGGAGGGACCCTGAGGTTTAGCTTGCTCCATGATGCCCCCCACGCACCCCTACACCACTGAGCTCCTCGTCTCATCTGCTGACAGCACTTCCTTGAGCAGAGGACTAACATCTGCCTGCAATCAGTGCACCTAACAGAGGTCCCCCTCCCAACAGAGAGGCTCAGAGCCGATGCTGCGGACTAAAAGCCTTTGCAATTACACACTTTCACGGTAAATGAGACAAAAATGGAGATCACAATAAAAATCCTCCCAGGAGAGCATCAGCGATGGCACAGTTGAGACAATCAGATTTGGAGTTTTCGGTCTTTAGCTGTGCCAAGGGAATGAGGCACATAAATCCACGCCGGGCTGTGTGCTGGAGCCAAGCGTCACAAAAAAAGGAAAAAAAAAAAATAAGAAAAGTAAATTTCACAGCTAGAAACAACAAGGCACAGCTTGCAGAGCCCTTTGTTTCCTGCAGCATCCCGGGCCAACAGAGGGAAGGAGATAAACAATTTAGGTGAAATCTCTAGGGTGAAGCAAAATGAATAAATGAATATGCGCTTATTTATTCATTCGCAGGGTCATCAAATGAAATCCAGCTCTGCTGGAATGGATGGCAAAGTTCCCAGGGACGAACGCTTCACCAAGAGATTTTAAGGACAGTGAGGCAAGGGAAGGGGAGCTTGTTCTAACCCAGATTAACTTTGCTGCTGCTTGAAGAACAAGATTTCTGGTGCAGGGAGAAAAACATCCCTGTTCACTTAAAGCCTTCTTGGCTACATCCTTTCAACAGGGGGAAAATCTGAAAGAATACTGCAAGAAATGGCCCTTTTCAAATTTTCTCAACCAATATGTTTTGAGCTGAAATTTTTTCACCCCTAAAATATGAAATTAAAAAAAAAAAATACACACACACACACAAAAAAAAGAGGACTAAAAGCATCTGCCCCCCAAGAAGCACTTGCCAAAACACAGGTGCTGTTGCTGGGCTGCTCCAGCATGAATAGCTCGCCTTCAGGAGGTGCAGACAGGCAGCGCAGGCACCTTTTGTTTTTTTGTAAACACACACGTACCCTTATTGCTATAAACAGCCCTGCACTTTCTCCTGGAAGCCGCACCCACTCCGCTTGTAAAAGAACCCATTCCTCCCACTCAGGTGTCTCCCAAGTCCAGCTGGAACAACTGCTGTTGTTGTTCTGCAACAACCCCAGAAAACCTCAGGTACATGCCACGGTGACTTTCCCCTTGGTGCCCTTTGACTTTGTAAGAGCAGCTGCCCATAAATTCAGCTGGAGAGCCACCGTTCCATTTCCTGCTTTCTCACCAAAAATGGCAAAACCTGGTCCCAGCAATGCAGAGCCCTGATAATCAAGTTATCTACCTACTCAGCCTTCTCTTAAATAAGGATGGGAAGAAGGATGGGATGAGTGAGGGATGCAATCGCATCTTTAAAACAGCTCAAGCAGTAAGTAGATAGATGCAAAAGTGTATGACCCTCCTTAATCCTGACCAAAGTCATTTTACCGACGAGCAGTGGAGAGGATGCAGTCCCCTGAAAGCCAAAAGCTGGAAGCTCATGTTCTAAGCTCCCCCCCGAACATGGGTCCATCACAGGAGTTACATCTGGAAGTACAGCCTGGGCTCGAGTTTTTACAGGCAACCGAAAAGTTTTGGATCCCTAACCCACCAGTGAGTAATAAGAACACTAGGGTGGAAAAACAATGTCTTGTAAAATGAAGCATTGTTCTGCTAATAAAGTTTTCAGCATTAAACCGCATTACTCTGCTGGCATTAGAAATCATTGGCTTGGGGTTTGACTGTTTATTTTATTTATTTTTTTTAAATATACAACACAAAATAGTCAAACTCTGTTTTTCCGCTGGGTAAAAACCCGCCTGACTTACAACCTGAGGTTGCTGATTTTTCCATCAGACAGTTCGCTGCCTGCCGCAGCGCAGCCAGGCAGAGACGCAGTTATGGATCTGCTTCCAGAACTCATCACAGGTGAAGAGGAAAAAAAAAAATGCAGATTTCAGTGGAAACCCTAGAGGTGCCCTCTCTTCTTCTGTAAGTGATGGTGGTCGCTCTGCTGGCTTCTCTAGAGCCAGGCTCACTGATGTCATAAGTGGAAAGGGCACCATCACTCCAGATTTTAAGAAGTGTAAGGACATCGTACCCAATTCCAAAGAGGACATAGTTGCTAATGAAGGATTACAGCCCACCCTAACAGCTTCTGCCTGCCCTCTGGCCCCTCTTCCTGGTGATTTTCCCATCTATGTACCCTTAAAGTGCTGAAGAGGGAAGAGAACTGTCCACCTTCGTCATCAGATGGGGTGATGCAGACCAGAGATCCTCAGCTTGTGGCAGCTGATGGGTTTATACCAGTCCAGACTCTCTAGGTTGATCTGGCATTGTCCCACCGCTCCTCACAGAGGAGACCAGTGCCAGCACAGAGCAGGAGAAGTGCACACGCATCCTGCACACGCACAGCATGTGGAGCAGATCTGAGGGTAGGAAGGAGACATCGTAAAGGAAGATAATGGCAAAAGGAGGACGAGTCAAACAGAGCTCTCACACAATGCTGAAGGCTTCAGTTTAAACCATCCCCACCTGCTCTGGAGCCTGGACAGTGTGGCCCAAGGCCATTACTCTTTTCCTGAAGGTCCTCTCACCTCCTCAGCATCAGCAGGACATAAGAGATAACCATCTGGTCTGCTCTGGGTTTGATTCTTGGTGTCAGTTCCCTGATAGCATTTCTTTGTCTTTCTCCTGTTGCCACTGAGCCCTAGGAGGTGCTGGGCACCCTTGGAAGATGCTGACCATCCTGAGAGATGCTGAACATCTTCCACTTCTGATTCTATTCCTGGAAGCCAAGGGTGGCAATCAGCTCTTGTGACCAGCCCCTCGATGCTGCGCAAACCTCAAAAAGCAGAAGATTCTGCCAAGCAGGGGAAGCTGCCAGTGCTCGGGAGAAGCTGCTCCGAAGTGGATCCAAGGAAAACGGAGCCTGCAGAATGGGGTGGAAACTGGCTCCCTCACAAGGAATTTGATGATCTATCTAATGAGGGAGCTTGAGAGAGAGCATGAGCAGTTCCAAGATTTCCGGTATTTACTACTTCCAGCTGGGTTGTAAATACCACACAAATGGCTTTTTAAATGGAATTTACCCAATTCCAAGATTAGGGTCTTCCAGAATGAAATGCAAACATGTAACATCTCTGGACTTCAGGGTGCTTTGGGCCCACCTCTTCCCTGGTGTAAACCAGGAGAGCACTCCTTTCCAATTTCTGACAATCAGCTCCCTGGGACAGAAGACAATGAAGAATGGGACCCAACTGTTTGACTTTTTAAAGCTCACCCACACTTCCAGGACATTACAGGAGGTTCATCCCAACTTTGTGAGGGAGACACAATGGGTGATTATCACCAACACTGTTCTTTTATCCAGTCTGGTTTCCAGTATGAATCTAGCATGAGCCTGAATAGCCAACACCAGTGAGCAAAGCTGACAAGTGTTGTCAACAAAGAAAAGAAGATGAATTCAACCAAAATGGGCATCCATAAAGGGCAAACAAGACATACACCCTAGGACATGAAACCTAAGATGTGCTCGTTATGTCAGCAATCACACGGTTTGCAACACGGCTGTGTCGCTTTGCGGGGGAACACGACAGAAAGGGTTGTGGGGCAGAGACAATCCACCACCAAAAGCTGGAAGCTCTTCCAGAGGCAGCGAGGTGCCAGCACTGCCTGCAGAGGCACGGGAAGCTCCTCCTGATGGGAGAGCGGGAGGTTCATACAAAGCTGCTGAAATTACAACACCACAAGCAATGTGTCTGCACAGCAAAAGCTGAGAACACACCAGCCCCCTAAATATCTCCCCACCAAGCGGGCAGGCTCTTCTTCACCCTCGATGCCCCAGCAGCCACCTCGTCCTGCGTTCCACTGCATCTACCCAAGCTGCAAACACCTCCAGTTGCAGCACAGCTCAAGGCTTGGCCAACTCATTGCGTCTCCTAACACGAGCAGGATGAGCAGCACATCCTCCGATAAGACACCCCATACCTGACTTTTGTCCTACAGATTCTTTGAGTGAAAGAAAAACTGGGTGGGATGAGGGAGAAATAAGTTCACTCAACACAGAGGTTTGTGCCTGTTCTTGTGGAGAAGGGGGAAAGGCATTGTTCTATCTCCACCAACCTCAGCAGAGCAGGAAAGAGATGAAAGATATATTCTTCCCCACGGGCAGGGTCGTGTCCAAGCTAGGTGGCTGAAGGATATGGTTCTCACTGGTTGGAGCCAGTGGATTCTGCCACGTCCCTTTTCTCCCTCAGAGTGCCAACACGGCAACTTTTATAACCTCCCCGGGGAGAGGATGTTCCTGTCGCCTCCTGTTCAGCATCACAAGCATCCCAGAAATCTGCCAAGTGGTTGAGATTGTGTAAGGCTGGGAGGGAGCAGAGGTTTAGAGAGATGGCTTTTTTGTCCACAGGAAGTCTGAGGGAGAGGATAACACAGGGGAAAACAAGCCCCAATACCCTAACTGGGACGTGGGGCTAAAATGAAAGACAGAAAGCAAGCTGCCTGCTGGTAAGTCCTTTAGGGCTTCTCCAAGCACAACAGTGAGAGAGGGAGATGTGGAGAACAACCAGAAAAAAAAGCAAAGCTCTAACTGGTCTTTGTTTGCAGCCTTAAAATCCACATCAAGAACTGAGGCAACTCCATGGTAGGATACAGAATTGGAGTTAATCCATCCCCTCAAGACCAGTCTTTTAGTGAAGTACCATAAGCAATCTCAGCGTGGAGCTGGGATACAACGCAGGATGATTCTCACCTTGAGGACTGCCATACCCCAGCCTTCAGTGTGTTGGGAAGGTGCCTGGAGCAGTGACCCGGTTGCACCATGCTGGGGTCCTTCCCAATGCTGCGACCCCGTGCTCCCACCCAGGCACCAGGAATTGCCAGATTTGAGGCTCTGGGATGTGTCCTCCCTTCCTTCCTCACTCAGAAGGAGATCAGCTCCCTGAAACAGAGAAGCCTTCAGAGATAACATCCCCTCGCAGCCCTGCTGCTCCCCCCTAATGTAACTCCATATCAGATCTCCAGAGCAAATCCATCTTGACTTGACAGCTAAGAACAACACTGCCAACCACAGAGCTAAGTCTTCTTCTTAGGTCATCAAGGAAGTAGAAGTTGAATAAGGTGCCTTTGAGTTGCTCAAATACATACCTATTCTTAACCAAATCTAAACCAAGACTTGACCTCCTGATTAAAGAGGATACATAGACACATCATGAGATGTCAAAGCTGGAGGGAGCAGGATCCAAGAGCCTATCTTGGAAAACAGTGGTGGCATTTGTTACAGAAGATACAGACACCAGCTGGTCCCAAAGCCAGTCGAATTGCCCTCTGCCCCGGCAAGCACTTATCCATAACTGCAGCCTTGCAAAAAGGAAATAATCTGCCTGAGATAAATCCTGAACTGACTGAGGAGGAGTCAATGTTTGGGGAGTTGATGATCCAACTAAATCAGTAATACTTCCAGCCCAGAAAATGGACGGAGGTCCATTAAAAGTGAGCACGCTCTTGTTTTCATTTTTTCTTAGATAGTGAGGCTTGCTAAAAGTTATGCAGAAAAGTAAGAAAGCAGAAGAGCTGTGAGGGAAAGCTTGTAATATTTTACTTAGAAAGGAGAGGCTGGAAAAGGAAGAAGAGGATATTATAGGTAAAGTTATTTTCCCAAGTTCAGTAAAGATCCCTGCTTGGTGCTAGAAGAAAGTGTCACGCTCAGTCTGAGTGTGAGACGAAACCTTGGATCACGTTCTGATTTATCTCAACAGAATTGCTCATCTCTACTGACTTTTTTCTTTTCTTAATTAATTTCACTTTGCAAAGAGCTGCTTGGCAGCTTATGTTGGCTCTCTGTTTCCCATTAACTTTGTATTTTCTTTTCTTTAAGCCCTGGTGGCTGTTTTCGATTTACTAGATGCACGGAGAGGGGGAAAAAGGCACAGGGAGGAAAGCAGAGACTCAGGCTCCCGAGACATCCAGCTTCACGGAAGAAGCCCATGGTATCGGACAGGACGTTACTTCTCTTTGATTAAAGCATTTGGCGGCTTTGATAAAAGGCCCTTAACTGCTTGTGCCACTCAAGCCATCATAGAGATAATGAGGGGCCATCAGCCCTACAGACAAGGACTCGCTTTGCCAGTCTCCAGCACTTTCGCAAGGGCCACTGCAGGCCAAAAGGGGCCGGGGAGCTTAATACAGGGCAGATAGTCGTCTCTTTTGTGACAATAAGAGGAAGTGAGATAATTGGGGGATTGAGGGAAGCCACCCATGGAGACACCACTTAGCGGGAATCCCAAAACTGGAAGGAAACCTCTGTTGATTCCTTATCACATTACAATGTGGAGGCGAATGATGAATTGCCCTGCGGTGTGGGACATGCAGCGGTCGGAGATTGTCCAAAGGGTTTGTTGCCATTTGGGCCAGCTTGTTTAGGTTAGTTTTTGCAAAGGGGAAGAGGAGCGGTGAAAGCTCAGCTCCCAGGGCAAAGGAGCACTGAGGACAGATCACAGGCTGAGGGATGCTGAGGACCAACGTGACCTTCCCATCACCAAAAGCAGGGTTTTGCAGTAACCCAGCTGTGTCCCAAAGCCTCACACCCATGGTCCCACACCAGCACAAGGGTAGCAAGGTCACACACCCCACCTCTGACCTTAGGGGTTACTGGAAATCCACTGCAGCTCCTTATTCCCTGGCTTTACAGCCAGCTCAAGTCTAGCATCACCATTTCTGACCACAGTTTTGATACGTGAGGGTCACCTGGTCAGCTGGAGGAGTCAGAAGATGACACCTCTATTTTCCACTGTCTGGTACAATCTCACATCAGGAAAATATTAAGATTTATCAACTTATTTTGTTTTTCATAGGTACTTGTACACTACACACGTGATGTTCCAACATGCAGGGGATTCACCAAGGATGCGAGGGAGATTCCCACTACCCTCCTGTCTCATCTGACAGCGCTTCCCAGCATCCGCTACCTCAGCCTGTGTGCCTACACTGCACATCCCAGTGCCCCAGGGGTTACATTACTGAAAATAATGACATGTGCCTGACTGATAGGACCATGCAGTTAAGCAGGAAAGGATCTGCTATGCAAAGAGGCTACTGGGCTGGAGAAAAAATTCTTGGCGCACTCAAATGCCACGGTGCATGCTGAATCCTGTTAGACTTCCCATGCCCTGTAGACTAAATCCTGAGAAAAGGGCACAGGGGTAGGCAGCAATCTCCTGCCCACCCCATAGGGCTGCATTCAGCCCTGGAAATTCCCTATTTTCTTCTGAGTGTCTGGGCTGGAGTGGGGGAGCTGATCTTTTGCTATCTGAGTCCTGAAAGTGTTTCTGTGTCTAAGCACTCCTCTTGCTTTGGGAGAAGAACAGAGAGACCGCAAACCTCTGGCTCCTGCCCGAGAACAATTATCCCATCGATACCGTGGGGCTCTTCACGCCAGGACGAGCTGAGCAGTCAGTGTAAAGCCCTCACAGTTTGATCCCTCGAGCTCTGTCAAAGCAGGTCAGTCGCACCAGAGGGGAAGGAACATGGATATCATGATTTTCAATCCCACGGCCACATTCATTAGACCGAGCATTTAACTGGAATTGCTTTCTGCATACGGACAGCTGTCCCTCAACTGTGAGACTCTTAGTCGAAAACTGTGCAAAATCCAAGCTGTCAAGGTATCTCCATTTGGAGATTAACCCTGCCTGAGGGGCTAGAGAGACAGATAAGTCATCTTTATCTCCAGGACCAGCTATCTTGCTGGATGTGGATTCAACACGGGTTGAGATCCAAACAGCTCGCTCCCAGCCCAGCAGCAGAGATGGGTTTTAGGCTGACACCAGTGAGATGAGTTGCCCAGCCTGGGGGATCTGCCCACCTCCAGCGCACAACCCTCACCCCTTGCTCATCATCAAGCATCACCATAAAGCAGACTGGGACTGCCCAGCCTGTGGGTGAGGGGAAACATCCAAAAATAACGCTGACAGTCATGTTAGGAAGGGGAAAGCAGCGAGTGGGGAGCAGCCAAAGCCTGACCTTTTCTCTTGGTGCAGTGGTAGATCTGGCTGTGCTCCTGGGAGATCGGGTAGGGGTTGGCAGGCGGTAGCAGGTCCTGGGAGGTGCTCGACACCCCGTTCTCGCACTGGTACTGGGAGCCCAGGTTGGAGGAGGCAGAAAGGACCCTGGTCTCGCCACTGAAGGGGCTGTGATTCGAGGACACTTTTTGTCTCACTGTGCTCCTGGGAACAACCGGGTACTCTTTACTAAAAGTAAAGAAACAAACAAACAAAAAAAGGCAGAAAAGCAATCAATTAATAAATAGATCAGTGGATTAATAAATGAAGGCAGCACATTAGTGTCATGGTGTTTGTTTAGACTTTCAGGGACAGAGAGACATCCCTCCCAGGAGGCTGCAGCCCCGTCACAGTTTATCCACACAGCACTTTGCTATTTCACTTTCCTTTTAGTATCTTTCCCTTTAGATTCATGCCTCTTTCACCACAGCTGCTATTGTACACCCTTACGTAAAATAGATATATGCAGTTACAGCAAAATACACAATATTTATATTTAGGTATTATGATAGCATTTATAAATAATATACTATTTATATTGTATGCGTGGATGTGCACATGCACGTAAATAAAAACCCAATTTCTGCCAAGCTGACTTGGAGATGGATTAAATATTGAGGTCTACTTTTTCCCCTTATGGTAGTTGTCCCCATTCCTTTTCCCCAGGGTCTGCCAGCCTTGTCCTGGATGGGGGAGTCCTGGACCAGAGAACAAGCTCCACTCCAGAACACTCAGAAAAGAGAAATAAATAAATCACCAAGACCTGATGCATGCCAGAGCCACATGCCTCCGTGGAGCCAGGCGAGGAGGGTGAGCACTAATGGAAAATATGGTTTGCTCTCTTGCTCTGAAATCTGTTTTGAAGCAGGGATGCTTTGCCAGCACTGGCTGGAAATCCCCTCTCCTACAAGACCCTACAGCATAGTTTGGAGACATTTCTCCAAGTACTTCAACATGGCTGGACAAGATTTTTCCTGCTCTGCCGGGGGAAGAACTGAAGCTGAGTAGGGATCTCGGAGACTTCAGGCAAGGTGCAAGCCTCCTCTTGGGCTGTCTCCAAGACAGCTGAGTGCTCCCTCAACCCAGGGACTTGCTAAAATGCATAAAGATCAGGTAGCACCTCGCAGAGTGCCACCAAGCTCAAATCAGCCAGAAATCAGAGCCCAGGTTCCAACACAAGCTTCCTTCTTTGAGGCTATAACCATTGGGCCAAGCTGGCTTTGAGGTACCCTACTCACCTGCCCAAAATCATCGTGCTGGAGCAAGGACAGATCTTAAATCCCATCAACAGGCTCACCTGGCCAGTTACATGTGGAGGAGGAACCCTGAGTCTCCAATTATGCTCCTTCCAGAGAACCTGTCACTGAAGCAACCCAGAACTTATTTACAAAATTTAACAATGCCAATTATATAAACCTACTCCCAGCAGGAGCTTTCATCCAAACCACTGCTGCAGTGGCTGCCAGAAACATCAGCAACTGAGCTGGAATGGAGGGGAAACTCACCCAGGAGCTCAAAACCAAAGAAATGTGTCTCTCATTGTGCCATGAAAACTTTCCAAACCCCGGGCACTGGTGTCTTGCCAAGGAGAGCCTATTCCAAAGGTGGGGTTTCTTCCCCTGGAAGCCCAGCAGCTCCTCCCCACAGGAGCATAGCTTTCCACCCACTTGGGCTGATTGACCAGGAAACTTTTTCCGAGCACTGAAATCCATGCTGGGCATGAGGAACAAAAGAGAGACGGGCTGGGAGGAAGCAGAGACTTATCCCCCAGATACGCAAGATAGCAATGGATGCCAGGGTATTCAGTGGGCTTCCGAGGACCTCTTTGCCTGTGGACACCCAGCAGTAGCATTTCCACCCCAGGAACTCTTGCTGGAAGGCAGCTTTGGTGGCTTTTCATGAAGGTCGAGATCTATGGCCTTCAAACCTTGTGGATGACCTTCAAATCTTCTCAGTTCTAGGGGATCTCCCAGCCCTACCAGGACACAGTTTTGAGCTGCCTGTTCCTCTCACACTCCACCTTCACCCAGTGATACTCATGGAAACGGTACCAGCATGACAGCCCAAAGCTCCATCCCCACCGTGTTTCCCTTCAAGGAGACAAGCCCCAGGGAAGTGACACATGGACCTTGCCTCTAGCTCTCCTCCCTAACGAGAGGCTGCTGCATGGACGGGCTGGTTCCTTCCTCCTCAGCCCCAACACCACCAATCCCTCAAGAAATGACAGAGCATCATTTTTTTTTTTTTTTTCCAGTGGGACACCTGGTAGGTGTGGTGGAAAACGAGGAAAGTACCATGGCATGATGCCACACCATGTTCTCTGCGGCTTTTTTGCAGGGTTTAGAGATGACTGCTGTCACAGTTTCTCCCTGCTTCAGTGGAGGAAGAGTTGGATGTCTCTTTGGGCCATGGGATTAGATCTTCACAGGGATTTCATACAGTAAATTCTCATGGTGGCTCACAGGGACCCCAGCAACATCAGACCTTCACTGCGCAAAGCGCCAAACAGTAAGAAGCCATCCCCATCCCAGACACTTCTCACCTAAATCAACACTTTCACTGTCTCAATGGAGAACTGAGTAGGGGAAAATTTAACAACAGGATTGATTTTTCTTGATTAAAAAAAAGTTTTTTCGTTTCTATAAAGGAGCTGTGTGCCTGAAACGGCAATATTTTTACCCTGGATACCAGCATAGGTGGAAGGATCCCACCCTCCCCTTGGGTACTGGGGACCAAATTCCTTTCAGACTGCATTTCCCAGGGGACACGACAGCCTCCATGGCTGTACGAGAGGACCGTGGTGCTCTGCAAGGAGTGGGGAGTCACGCTGGAGAGGGAACAGGTTGGAGACACCGAGTTTCCAAACAGCAGTTCCCAGGAGGTATTGCAATGACTTCTCTCCAGACTGAAATATTTCCATTTCAGTCAAAACATGTTGGGTGCTATTTTTGCCAAAAAATCAGCTATTGGAGGAGGGAGAGGAAGGAAAGTATTTTCTAACTAAATATCTAAAATATTCTCTTTCTTTCACTTTGCCATATTTCTATACATAAAGGCCGTTCTACCTTTTTCTTCCTTACAGGAGCTGAGCTCTAATAAAGATATATCCTTGGTACCTTGTAAAGCAACAATAATCTTAAAACATTTATACTGTTTCCTGAGCCCACTCACTACACAGTGTGCACAGCTACCATTTCGGTGTGTCCTTCGGTCTTTAAAAATGTATCAGGTACTTTTTTTTTTTTTTTTCTCAGGGACTAAGTCACTATTCTCAAAATAGCTAGTTGTAATCCTGGGCCACAGTTTAATGGAATGAAAGGTTTTGTTCACCACTGGCACAAAATGACTCTTGCATCCAGAAATTTTGCTGTCCAAAAAAAGTGGAAGTGAAGTAGGGAGAGGAAAAAAGTGTTAAAGTCTGACTTACACTGGCAAAGTAGGAACTTGTCCACACAGCAAGGAAGGGACTGTTGTTCCTGGGCCAGAATGCGAGTTACAGTTTTACATGAGGGTGTTAATGGACTACATTTTTCTTGCATTAAAAATTGTATAATTAGAAGGAAAAAAAAAAAAACTGTTGGTTGGGAAAGAATTTACAAGGAAGGAAGCTGTCATTGGTCTATTTAAAGTCTGTTGGAGGCTAATGATGAATATTCAGTTACTGCAGTTGGTGTATTACAATAGCAGAGGGGGACGGGGAGGAAGCAGGGAGCCGCATTGCGCAAGGTGCTGCACATTCCCTGCACCCCCAGGCTTCCAGCTGGATGGCCACCAGGAGACAACATTACTTTGATTTTCATTAGAGCTTGGGGGAAGAAATCAGGGATGGCGTCCAAGTCTACAGCCAAGGCACTCAGTCCTGAAATCTGGACTCAGTTCTTAAATCCCACCTGGTTAGATGTTTCCTAGACCCGTAGGATCGGACACCAGCTCTGCATCGCTCTTTCCTAACATCACACACATTCCTCTTTGCAGTTCGTCGTATAACCACGACCCTACAGATCAGGCCTCTCATGTGAATCCTTCCTGCATTTCCCGAGCAGACCTCTGCCGGGTGGAATTAGTAAATTCAGTCCCATTTTCACACCTTGTGACATCTTCCTCCTCCTCTGACCAAATGACGCCCTCACCATGACAGCCTCAGGAGCTCCATAAGATAATTTATGCCACAAGTTCGTATCTAACAAAGGTTTCAAAGGAGCAAATTCAAGAAGGTTTTGTAATCTCAGAACTGGAAACCTTGTTGGCCTCTACAAACTAATAAAAATTCTGGAAAAATTATAAATATAGACCTTCACAGAGTGGCATCCAGTCCACTTTCTTGCTTATCACGATGCTGTGAGAGAGCAATAGTTTTCAACATATTTTCACTTGAAGTTTCCTAATCTACCAGCCAATTCGTAGTAAATTCAGCTGCCACAGACAAAAACCTTGTTAAAAATCAATTTGAAGATCCACAGTTTGTAACCAAGAAGCTTCAGCATTGAAGCATCCAACCCTGACTGACCCTAAGTAAATGATTTTTAAAAATGCTTCTGATATTTCCCCAACAAAATATTACATACCTAAGTTCTCCGGAGCTGCTGCAGCTCATGGAAACAAGACGCTAAAAAAGCTATTAAGTGCCAGGCCCTGAGAATCATGCTGATATCTTGTCGAGGTCAAGACATGACATGGAAGAGAATTTCTCCATGGTTAGCTGCTACCATGTTCTTACAGCATCCTTTGAATCCCCCAAGCTGGGCATTGTCTAGACCCTGTTCACGATGGCAATTCCTGGTCTAAAATCTGACCAAAGGCATATCAGTGGACAGAGTGATTCCTCTCCACTCT